CAGCTCCTGGATTTGCAGAAATGATTTTTTCCTTAGCAAAGTGAGGGGGAGAAGGATGGATTTAAACCTAGGAACAAACTGTTACTTTGAAGGTTGTGTAAATATTTTTTAGAATCTGTTTTACTGTTATATTAATAAATAAAATGTGACCCAAAATAAGGAGAGGTTGGGTTTTCTTAGATGAGATTAAGAATGACCATTGTGTTTGTTGTTGTTGACAACACTACAACGTCATACTTAGCAACTTTTATTTTGTTCTTTCCTGTATCTACAGAATCTGTATGAAATCTGGGGTGGGGGGGGGAGGCTTTATACCTGTAAGTAATTTGCCTACATATTGAACTTTGTGGAATATTCAGAAACTTTTACCCACCCACCCTAGCCTGAATTAGAGACGTTTGGTCTATAATCAGACTGCAGTGAATTCACATCTGCCTCTGTCACTTTCCCTCATATTGGGGCTTCTCTGACAGCTCATCTGGTAAAGAATCTGCCTGCAATGTAGGAGACCCCAGTTCAATTCCTGGGTTGGGAAGGTCCGCTGGAGAAGGGAAAGGCTACCCACTCCAGTATTCTGGCCTGGAGAATTCCAAGGACTGCATAGTCCATGCGAAGAGTTGCAAACAGCTGGACACGACTAAGCGACTTTCACTTTCTGTCACTTTCCAGCTGTGTGACTGAAGCCCTAACCTCTAGGCCTATTTCCCCCTCATTTTCAAAGTTATGTTTGGCACACATGATAATAAGCTATTCCCATCATTATATTCCTTACTGGAATTTCATTTCATTATGCTGAGAAACTCATTTTTAAAATGCAATTTTCTTTCTTAAAAGCATCTTCTTAACCACTAAGCAAGATTCTGTGCAGAAGCAGCGGGAGACAGTGATCCTACAGCACAGGCCCAGAGGGGCTTTTTGGGGCAAGTGGTTAGAAAAGATGGAAGGGGACCCCAGAGTCCTGGAGGAAGAGAAATCCACAGCAGCAATCAGGCCTGAGACAGTTCTCTCTTGACCCAAACTTTTGGTTCTCCTCCTCAGGATCCAAAAGCCATTTCCCCAACCCTTCATTTTCCTCTAGAAGATTCCAAGATTCTCATGCTCTGGACTGGGTTATCCACTGCACTGAGAGCAAGGACTCCTGGTTATAGGGCAGCAGTGCTTGAAGAGCAGGCGGTGAAAGATCTGGGTCAGCTCTGCCAGGGGCCAGGACACAGGCTTAGAACATTAAAATGGAGTGCAGATGCGCTTCTGCAGTCCTGTGTTTTGTCGTGGAGGAGTCAGTCTGGGCTCAGGTTCTGTCTGAACAGCAGAAATCAGAGGAGAGCAAAGTAAGCCTCGAGGAAAAAAATCTCTTAACGTAAACTGTTAGGCCTACTCTCTATAGGCTATCAGAGAACTTGTCAAGGTTTACATGTGTTGTCAGATGTTTTGTGATGCCCCCAAAGATTATGAACAAACAAATCATGCTCATAGTGATTTGTGTTTAATGAACACACACTTCGTTCCAGGCATTGCATCAAATGCTTCCATACAGCAGTCCCCAACCTTTCTGGCACCAGTAATCAGTTTTGTGGAAGACAGTTCTTCCACAGATCCAGGGCGGGTAAGGCTGGGGTGGGGTGGTTTGGGGGTTATTCTAGCATATTACATTTATTGCACACCTTATTTCCATTATTATTACATCAACTCCACCTCAGATCATCAGACATTAGATCCTGGAGGCTGGAGTCTCCTGCTTTAATGGTTTCTCCCTGTTATTCTTCACAGCAACCTTGTGAGGAAGTTGAGTTATCTGTGCTTTTATATGTGAGGAAATAAGGTTCCTTGGAGAAGCTTAATTTAATTTGCACAAAGTTGCACCAGCTGGCAAGCAGAGGCGCTGGAAGCGAATGTGGGCAGTTGGGTCCACAACAGTTCCTGCTGCCCGCTCTTTAGTCAGAGGTCAGGTGAGCACACCTCCGCCCCCTGGTGGCTGTCCTCCCTGGGTGCTCCCCGCTGGGACAGGAGCCTGAACTGTGCTGAGCAGGATTCCCATACGGTCTTCTTCTAAGACTATGGAGTGGTACCTTCACCTGTAGCTTGGGCTCTGCAGAAAGGTGGAGATACGGGGGCATCTGCAAAACCACGGACTTTTCAACCGCAGCTACATTTGAGGTACAGAAATTGTATTGTATGCACTGCACAGCCTGGAGGCTACCGCAGCATCTCCCAAACTGCTTCCCATAGACCTGCCTTTGACCACAGGCCTTCTTTATTCTCTCTTCCACAAAACCTGTCAGCCACTACAGCAGAACTTTAAACCAGATATAAGATGTTGGTTGGTTTCTAGATCTAGCCTAAACATGATGCTGCACGTCTTGAGAACTGTAGAACCTAAATTAATCTCAGTCAAAATTCGATTTTGTAGCAAGGTTTCCAGTGGCCACCCCCACCCTCACAAGAGCTTGTGGGATCTTAGTTGCCAAGCAGGGACTGAACCCTCACCCTTGCTAGTAAAAGCGCAGCCTGAAGGCCCAGACCACCAGGGAATTCCTGACACAAATTTTTATTTAAGTGTTAACGTACAGAAAAATACACGAAGTATACAGCTCCGTGAATTATCACTCCCACTCAGCACTCTAGAGGCTGCCCTAGCAAACTGGGTGACTTACAACAGCAGAAGTGTGTTGTCTCACAGTTCTGGAGTCTAGAAGGCTGAAATCCAGCCTGTCGAGGGCGTTCTTCCCTGAGAGCCACAGGGGAGTCCTCCCTTGCCTCTCCCTAGCCTCTGGGGGCTTGTCTCCCGCACTCCTCAGCTGGAAGCTGCTTCCCATCCCCCTGCCTCCCCGTTGCGCAGCACTTTCCCTGTGTGCCCCTGTCTTCACAGGGTCTGCCTGTGAGGACGCCAGTTACACTGGAATCAGGGGCCCTCCCCACTCTAGGATGACCTCATCTTGACTATAGTAATGACATCTGTACTGACCTTATTCCCAAATAAGGTCACTCTCTGAGGTACCAGGGATTAAGAATTCAACATATTTTTTGGTTGGGGGGGGGTGCGTGGGAGGAACAGTTTAACCATAACACCCCCTACCATGTTCCACCCCAGTCAATATGCCTTTCTCCTTCACATAGATAACAAAGTGTTATAACATCCTGTAAAATCAGTGGTATTAAATAAGGAGATTACTACATGTAGACATTCGATTATATCCATTAAACCCTGCCTGGACACATACATGAAACTTCACCTTTTTTGGCCCTGCTTCTAAGTACTGATTCTGATCCTTTTAACTGCTGTATCTAAGTCAACATGATGTTAACATGCAGCCTCTCCAGTTTTACACCAAGAAGTTTATTCTCAAAACTTCAGTCAAAACCCACTGCAATATTGTGAAGTAATTAGCCTCCAACTAATAAAAATAAATGAAAAAAGAATAAATAAAGGGGAAGAGGAAAAAAATAGTTTTTTTTTTTTTTTTTGGCAAAAACAAAAAACTTCAGTCAACCTGCTTGTATTTTTGTGCTGTTATTAATACCAGTTTTATGTCACCATATATTAATCTTTTTTCAAGTAGTTTTTTACAGAAAGCCTTCAAGAACCTTTTTTTAAAAAAAATAAATATTACTGAAAATGCTATACTTTTAATTACAGTCTTACCATCATGATATTGGAGACCTCCTGGAGTTTTGGTTTTTTTTTTTTTCTTCTCTGGTATAATAGTATATGCTTAAAATTATTCCTCCCATAAACTGAGCTGATATATCATTGTATAGTCATTTTTTCATTAATTTTTTTATTTTCATTTATTTCATTTATTTTATTTCATTTATTTTTATTAGTTGGAGGCTAATTATTTTACAATATTGTAGTGGTTTTTGCCATACATTGACATAAATCAGCCATGGATTTACATGTGTTCCCCATCCCGATCCCCCCTCCCGCCTCCCTGCCCACATTGTATATTCTTTAAGTTTTATCTTATCTACCTGCTGCTGCTGCTAAGTCACTTCAGTCATGTCCGACTCTGTGCAACCCCATAGATGGCAGCCAGGCTCCTCCCTCCCTGAGATTCTCCAGGCAAGAACACTGGAGTGGGTTGCCATTTGCTTCTCCAGGGGATCTCCTCGACCCAGGGATCGAACCCAGGTCTCCTACATTGTAGGCAGATTCTTTACCGTCTGAGCCACCAAGGCAAATGACTGTAAAAATGATCTAGTTTGATGTGATGTAGAAGACAAGAATTCTAATGTCAAAACACAAAAGAGATACAGCAGCTCAAAATTCTTTTAGGCACCGTGTAATTACTACCTTAAGCTGTGTCCAGAATTTTACTGGAAGATTCAGCATGCAGAAGCTATGAAAACAGTTTTAAGGGCTTCCATGGTAGCACAGTGGAGAAGAATCCGCCTGCCAATACAGGAACACAGGTTCGAGCCCTCGTCCAGGAAGATCCCACGTCCCGCAGGGCAACCCAACTTAAGACTGCGCCCCAAGACTGAGTCCGTGTGCGGCAACCACTGAAGCACACCCAGAGACCGTGCTCTGCAACGAGAAGCCGCCGCCGTGAGAAGCCTGTGCGCCGCAGCGAAGCCCCAACGAGCCAAAAATGAAAGCAGACAAAATTACTTTTAAAAAAAAAAAAACAAAAAACAGTTTTAAGGCAAAATTTTACTTATACCAGCCTCCTCAATTCTCATAAAGCATCTTAAATAGCAGAGGCAATTTTTTTTGGTTGCATTGCAAGGTATGCAGGATCTTAGTTACTTGACCAGGAATAGAGCCCCCTACAGTAGAAGTGCAGATTCTTAACCACTGCACTGCCAAGGAAGTCCCTCAAAGGCAATTTTTAAAGTTTTTTAATTTGTGTTTTATAAATATGATAGTCCAGTAACTAATATATCAAACTGGCTGCTTGCAGCTATTTGCATCCCGGAAATGATCTGGCATTATAAATGATTCTGTTTTAAAAAGATTAATGAATGAATGTGTAATAACTTTTCTTTCTTTCTTTTTCTAGCCAAGGACCCTTGTCATCAATTAGAGCAGTAATCAAGAGATGTAAGTTTATTTTTCCTGCTCTGTATTTTCCTCTGAAATAATTTTAAATGATGATTTAGATTTCCAGCATATGATTGTATTTGATGAATCTTACAAAGAATCTGACAAGAGTAGCTTCTCCTAAGGAGTAATAAACCATTTCAGACAAGCAGCTAGGTTTTCAAGATTATTTTCAACTTTCAATTATTTATAAACCAGTTCCTGAGAACAGTATTTTTCTTTTAGAGAACACACCTGTTTTTAACAAATGTATTATCTAGTCAATTTTAATGATCTAATATAAATTGTAACTATTTTCCATAGGTAGAAACATCTGATGGGTTTCAAAAATATCAAATCCTGTACTTTTTTACCGATTTACTTCCACACTATTTTTATTTAACTCTATAAATGCTTATGGAGTTCAGCTTACACTTCCATATACATGATAGAAGTACTGTAACAGAACTCTCTCTAAAATGGTACATTCATACTTCCTGACTTTACTTCTTGGTTAAAGCTTTAAAATTTGCTGTTGGTACAAGAGTTCAACATTCTTTTTAATAAAAGGCTTTGCAAACATCCCTTTTCCAAATAGAACATGGATGGTGGGTGCTCAGTCACTCAGTCTTGTCCAGCTCTTTGAGATCCCATGAACTGTAGCCTGCCAGGCTCCTCTGTCCATAGGATTTCCCAGGCAAGAATACTGAAGTGGGTTGCCATTTCCTTCTCCAGGGAATCTTCCTGACCTAGGGATCGAACCCATGTCTCTTGTGTCTCCTGCCTTGGCAGGTGGATTCTTTACCACTGCACCACCTGAATTAACCGTTATTTTTTTAAAAATAAAGATAAGAAAGGGATATTAAATGTTCTTTGCATTTTGAGCTGAGGTCACCACCCTGAGGAGAAGTATCCTGTTTTTAAAAACATAACAAATATTTAGTATGAATTCAGGATACCCACAGGTGTGAAGAGCATGCATTTGAACCATTGCAGTGAACACTTTGTCAGCTGACAACACGGAAAAGGATTTCACATTTCCCATATTTAATTTTTTGATGATGGTCATGAATTATAAAGGTGTGGGAATGCCACAATGGATATTGGTGGGAATTCATATATGAAATGAAAAGTTTATAATAGCTGTACATGCCTTAGAGCCCTTGGGGAAAGTGGGGGAGATGGGGCAGGAAAGGAATCTAGAAAGAGAAGTAGGATTTCGAAATTTGGTAAGAGTTTCTTGCTAAAGGTATAATTTGGGATAATTAAGGTTATATGTGTGTAAGCAAAACCCTGGAAGTAGCTCAATATTTAGGAAGGTAGTGCTGACAATCAATAGAGAAGGTGGGAGAAAAAATGAAACAAGAAACCAAGAAATAGAGGTGAAAAAGACAGAATCTTATGAAACATTGATGTCTGAGATCAAGCCGTGCCTTTAAGGTTCTCTAGAGCCAGAGAGATGTGACCTCCTCCCACAGGAGTCTGTCTGCCAACTCCTGCCTTTGTTCTCTGACTTCTTACCTTGCCTCCCTGTTGGATTTCAAGACCTCTTTTTGGGGGGATTTGTAATCCATACCTGATTTCCTATAGATCCTACAGGATGGATCTTGCTTACCTTGAGGCCTCTGTACCATGCAAGGCCTAGGAGAGGTCGGCTAAGGAGGAGGGGGCCAAAAACAGCTGAAAAAGAAGGATACAGTAATAGACAAACTCAGAGACACTTGGATGTTAGCGGCCAAGGAAGGAGAGGTTTTCAAAGTGCACGAGTGAAAGCCGCAAACAGCGCTTCCTGCTGCAGCAGGTGAGGTGACAGGAGGTGAGACCAGGGTGTGTGCGGTGCTCAGTGACCTTCGAGTAGACAGGTCTGGGAGATGTGAAGCTGGAAGCTGCACGTCATTTCAACAGTGAGTGGAGCGTGGGAAGTGGGGGCAGCTGGATAGGCTACTCTTTCATGCACTGGGTAGAAAGAGGAGGAGAAGGATGGAGGGTCAAGCAGAGAGATCTGTGCACACATATAGACTGTTTAGAAAGAAGCCTGGAGATGTTTGTAGGCCCCAAGCAAAGAGTCAGCGGGGAGACCACACTGTCGAGGAGACGGGAGGAGAGGAAGAGATGAAGCACGGCCCCAGAGAGAGGGAAGGAGGGAGAGGTAAAACAGAGGGAAATGCCTGCTTTAAGATGTCGGTTAAAAAAATAATGACCCACTTGTCATTTAATGTAGCACCCACTTTGTGTACACTAAAGAACTATGTGTTGGTTATAATTATCTCTGATGTTTAGGCGGGAAGGCCAAGCAGATCCTTGGATGCTGCCATATAAAATAGAATGAAAAATAACTGTGCCATTCCCTCTCCATTTCCCCTTTTTGTGCATTGTATAAGAAAAAGGCAGAAGCAAATTTTGTCTTTGTTGCTGTTGTTCAGTCACTGAGTCATGTCCGACTCTTTGTGACCCTGTAGACGGCAGCACGCCAAGATCCTCTGTCCTCCAGTATCTCCCTGAGCTTGCTAGTTCATGTCCATTGATTTGGTGATACTATCTAACCATCTCACCCTCTGTTGCCCTCTTCTCCTTTCCCAACATCAGGGTCATTTCCAGTGAGACAACTCTTCACATCAGGTGGCCAAAGTATTGCAGCTTCAGCTTCAGCATCAGTCTGTCCAAAGAATATTCAGGGTTGATTTCCTTTAGGACTGACTGATTTGATCTCCTTGCAGTTGAAGGGACTCTTCAGGGTCTTCTCTAGCACCACAGTTCAAAAGCATCAGTTCTTCAGCAATCAGCCTTCTTTATGGTTCAACTCTCTCACATCCATACCTGACCACTGGAAAAACCATAGCTTTACCATACGAACCCTTGTCAGCAAAGTGATGTCTCTGCTTTTTAATAGGTTTGTCTTAGCTTTTCTTCCAAGGAACAAATGTCTTTTATTTCATGGCTGGAGTCACCATCTGGAGGCGAAGAAAATAAAATCTGCCACTGCTTCTACTTTTTCCTCTTCTATTTGCCAAGAAATGATGGGACTGAATGCCATGTTCTTAATTTTTTAAATGCTGAATTTTAAACCAGCTTTTTCACTCTCCTCATTCACCCTCATCAAGAGGCTCTTTAGCTCTTCTTCGCTTTCCGCCATTAGAATGGTATTATCTGCATATCTGAAGTTGTTGATATTTCTCCCAGCAGTCATGATTCCAGCTTGTGATTGATTCATCCTGGCATTTCACATGATGTACTCTGCATATAAGTTAAATAAGCAGAGTGATAATATACAGCCTTGACATATTCCTTTCTCCATTTTGAACCAGTCGTTCCATATTCAGTTCTATCTGTTGCTTCTTGACCTGCATACAGGTTTCTCAGAAGGCAGGTAAAGTGTTCTGACCCTCCCATCTCTTTAAGAATTTTCCACAGTTTGCTGTGATCCACACAGTCAAAGGCTTTAGCATAGTCAATGAAATAGAAGTAGGTGTTTTTCTGGAANTATGTCCATAATTCTTCAGGCACTCTTATCAGATCTAATCTCTCGAATCTATTTGTCACTTCTACTGTATAATCGTTAGGAATTTGATTTAGGTCATACCTGAATGGTCTAGTGGTTTTCCCTACTTTCTTCAATTTAAATCTGAATTTGGCAATAAAGAGTTCATGATCTGAGCCACAGTCAGCTCCCAGTCTTGTTTTGGCTGACTGTATGGACTTTCTCCATCTTCAACTACAAAGAATATAATCAGTCTGATTTCAGTATTGACCATCTGGTGATGTCCATGTGTAGAGTCATCTCTTGTATTGTTGGAAGAGGGTGTTCACTATAATCACTGCAAAACTCTTTGTTAAGAGAGTTAACCTTTGCCCTGCTTCATTTTGTACTCTAAGGCCAAACTTGCCTGTTAGTCCAGGTATCTCTTGACTTCCTACTTTTGCATTCCAGTCCCCTATGACGAAAAGGACATCTTTTTTGTGTGTGTTAGTTCTAGAAGGTCTTGTATAGGTCTTCATAGAACAGTTCAACTTCAGCTTCTTTGGCATTAATGGTTCTGGCATAGACTTGGATTGAACAGTTTGCCTTGGAAACTAACAGAGATCATTCTGTCATTTTTGAGATTGCACCCAAGTACTGCATTTCAGACCCTTTTGTTGACTATGAGAGATACTCCATTTCTTCTAACGGATTCTTGCCCACAGTCAGTCAGCCAGTTCAGTCTCTAAGTTATGTCCGACTCTTTGCAACCCCCATGGACTGCAGCACGCCAGGCTTCCCTGTCCATCACCAACTCCTGGAGCTTGCTCATACTCATGTCCATTGATTCAGTGATGTCATCCAATCATCTCATCCTCTGTTGTCCTCTTCTCCTCCTGCCTTCATCTTTCCCAGCATCAGGGACTTTAACAACGAGTCAGTTCTTTGCATCAGGTGGCCAAAGTATTTGAGCTTCAGCTTCAGCATCAGTCCTTCCAGTGAATATTCAGGACTGATTTCCTTTAGGATGGACTGGTTTGATCTCCTTGCAGTCCAAGGGACTCTCAAAAGTCTTCTCCAACACCACAGTTCAAAAGCATTAATTCTTCAGTGCTCAGCTTTCCTTATGGTCCAACTCTCACATCCATACATGACTAATGGAAAAACTATAACTTTGACTAGATGGACCTTTGTCAGCTAAATAAGGTCTCTGCTTTTTAATATGCTGTCTAGGTTGGTCATAGCTTTTCTTCCAAGGAGCAAGCGTCTTTTAATTTCATGGCTGCAGTTACCATCTGCAGTGATTTTGGAGCCCAAAAAAGTAAAGTTTCCATTGTTTCCCCATCTATTTGCTATGAAGTGATGGGACCGGGTGCCATGATCTTTGTTTTTTGAATGTTGAGTTTTTAGTCAGCTTTTTCACTCTTCTCTTTCACTTTCATCAAGAGGCTCTTCAGTTCCTCTTCACTTTCTTCCATAAGGGTGGTGTCATCTGCATACCTGAAGTTATTGATATTTCTCCTGGCAATCTTGATTCCAGCTTGTGCTTCATCCAGCCTGGCATTTCATATGATGTACTCTACATATAAGTTAAATAAGCAGAGTGACAGTATATAGCCTTGATGTACTCTTTCCCAATTTAGAGCCAGTCCATTGTTCCATGCCTGGTTCTAACTGTTGCTTTGACCTGCATATAGGTTTCTCAGGAGGCAGGCAAGGAAGTTTGGTATTCCCATCTCTTTAAGAATTTTCCACAGTTTGTTGTGATCCACACAATCAAAGGCTTTAGCGTAGTCAATGAATCAGAATTAGATGCTTTTCTGGAACTTTCTTGCTTTTTCTATGATCCAACGGATGTTGACAACTTGAACTCTGGTTCCTCTGCCTCTTTGAAACCCAGCTAGTACATCCGGAAGTTCTCAGTTCACATAATGCTGAAGCCTAGCTTGAAGGATTTTGAGTATAACCTTGCTTGCATGTGAAATGAACACAAGTACTGTAATTTGAACATTCTTTGGCATTGCCTTTGTTTGGGATTGAAATGAAAACTGATCTTTTCCAGTCCTGTGGCTGAAAGATGACCTCCCCAGTTCGGTAGTTGTCCAATGTGCTACTGGAGAAAAGTGGAGAAATAGCTCCAGAGAGAATGAAGAGGCTGAGTCAAAGCAAAAGCATTGCCCAGTTTTGGATATGACTGGTGATGGAAGTAAAATCCCGTGCTGTAAAGAACAATATTGCATAGAGTCCTGGAATTTAGGTCCATCAATCAAGGAAAATTGGAAGTGGTCAAACAGGAGGTGGCAAAGTGATTATTGACCTGTTAGGAATCAGTGAGCTAAAATGGATCAGAATGGGCAAATTTAATTCAGATGACCATTACATCTACTACTCTGGGCAAACAGATCATCTACTATGATCTGTTGGATCATAGAACAAACAGGAGAGTTCCAGAAAAATGTCTTCTTCTGCTTTATCGACTATGCCAAAGTCTTTAACTGTGTGGATCACAGCAAACTGTGGAAAATTCTTAAAGAGATGGGAATACCAGACCACCCTACCTGCCTCCAGAGAAATCTATGTTCAGGTAAAGAAGCAACAGTTAGAACCAGACATGAAACAATGGTTGGATGGCATCACCAGTTGGATGGCATCACCGACCTGATGGACATGAGTATGAGCAAGCTCCGGGAGTTAGTGATGGACAGGGAAGCCTGCGTGCTGCAGTCCATGGGGTCGCAAAGAGTCAGACACGACTGAGCAACTGAACTAACTGGAACAATGGACTGGTTCTAAATTTTGAAAGAAGTGCGTCAAGGCTGTATATTGTCACCCTGCTTATTTAACTTATGTGCAGAGTACATATAAGCGACTGAACTGAACTTGTCCCTTGCCTTTCATGTCTCTTATTTCCTCAGCTATTTTCAAGGCCTCTTCAGACAACCACTTTGCTTTCTTACACTTCTTGTTCTTTGGGATGGTTTTGGTTACTGCTTCCTGAACAGTGTTACCAACCTCATCCATAGATCTTGAGGCACTCTGGCTACCAGATCTAATCCCTTGAACCTGTTCGTCACCTCCACTGTATAATCATACGTGATCTAAGTCATACCTGAATAGCCTTGTGGTTTTTCATACTTTCTTAAATTTAAGCCTGAATTTTGCAATAAGGAGCTCATGACCTGAGCCACGGTCAGTTCCAAGTCTTGTTTTTGCAAATTGTATAGTGTGTCTCCATCTTTGGCTGCAAAGAACATGGTCAGTCTGATTTTAGTATTGTGCTGTTGGGAAAAGGTTTTGCTATGACCAGTGTGCTCTCTTGACAAAACTCTGTGAGCCTTTGCCCTGCTTCATTTTGTACTTCAAGCCCAATCTTGCCTGTTATTCTGGGGGTCTCTTGACTCCCTAGGTTTGCATTCCAATCCCCTGTGATGAAAAGGACATATTTTGGGAGGGTGTTATTTCTAGAAGGTGTCATAGATCTTCATAGAACTAGTCAATTTCAGCTTCTTCAACATCAGTGGTTGGGGTATAGACTTGGATTACTGTGATGTTGAATGGTTTGCCTTGGAAACAAACCGAGATCATTCTGTCGTTTTTGAGACTGCACGACGTACTGCATTCTGGACTCTTGTTGACTGTGAGGGCTACTCTATTTCTTCCAAGGGATTCTTGCCCACAGTAGTATATATAATGGTCATCTGAATTAGATTCACCCATTCCCATCCATTTTAGTTCACGATTCCTAAGATGTCCTCTCCTGCTTGACCACGCCCAATTTACCTTGATTCATGGACCTAACATTCCAGATTGCTATGCAGTGCTGTTCTTAACAGCATCAGACTTTACTTTTACCACCAGCCAAAACTGAGTGTCATTTCTGCTCTGGCCCAGCTGCTTCATTCTTACTGGAGCTTTTAGTAATTGCCCTCTGCTCTTCCCTAGTAGCATATTGGAGGCCTTCTGACCTGTGGAGCTCATCTCCCAGTCTCATATCTTTTTGCCTTTTCATACTGTCTGTGGGATTCTCCAGGCAAGAATACTGAAGTGGTTTGCCATTCCCTCCTCCACTGGGTCATGTTTTGTCAGAACTCTCCACTATGACCCATCTGCATGGCATGGCTCATAGCTGCATTGAGTTACATATGCCTCTTTGCAATGATTAGGGAGTGATCTGTGAAGGGTATCCTTAAAACAACCCTAATAAAGTAGATATTATTTTCTTCATTTTATAAGCTGAGCAAATCAAAAGTAATCCAAATCATGTGTGCTTTCTTTCCTGCAGTAGTTTGCCATTCCCTTCTCCAGTGGACCACATTTTGTCAGAACTCTTCACTGTGACTCATCCGTGTTGGTAGGCCCTGCATGGTGGCATGGCTCATAGCTTCATTATGTTACACAAGCCCCATAGTTATGTCAAGGCTATGATCCATGAAGTGGAAATTTTGTCTTACCCAACCCAATAAAATGTTTGCTTTCCTATCCCAGACTTAGTCATCTGTTCTTGAAAAGGAAAAGAACTTATCACATTTTGAAAGCAATATTCCTTAACTGATTATATTTTAAATTCTTTCATAATGATTCTGGATCCAGTCAAGTCTTGAGATTCTTCCTTTTGTGTTCATTCTTATGAACACTAAATATTTTGGGCAGAGTTCTTGAACGTGTTCTACATAGATATATACGGAAATACATGCTTTTCCTTTCATTAACTTTTTAAGAGGAAATTATCCTTTGAAATTCACAGACTTAGCTAATATTCATTGCTTACTATGAGTCAGGAACTGTTCATTTATGTTATAAAATAATGGCCAGCATCGTAGGTGTTAACCCCATTTTACAGATGGTAGGGATACTGAGTCTAGGAGATTAAATGGCTTCGTGAGATAGGTCTGAGATGTGAACCTAGACTTCCTGACTTCAAGGCCATTTTGAGCTTTCCACTCCAAGGGTATTCCTGTTACCATGTCAAATGCCTCTAGTTTATACTCTGTCTGAAGCAAATGTAGTTAGTATTTTTATTCTTGTGGTTTTTATTGGTAAGGTAGTACTATAGCAAAGATGCTTGTAGTATAATAATCCTTCTATGTGTTTATTTCTCCTGCCCCTCATGTAGTTACTAATTTTGAATTATTTAGAATGAGGGCTAGCATCCAGCTCTCCTGGCTCCACAAGGAGTTTAACTGGTCATTCTCCTCACCTCAGGATTGGAGAAGGATGGTCATTAAGTATCCATCCAGACTTATGACCCTGTTGGAATTTAGGAGAGTTCTTTATTAGCACTAACATTGCAAATCCAGATCTCAATCTTTTATGAACAACTGGACCTTTGTACTGAGAATTTAGCCATATGAACTGGAAAGTTTGTGAATGAGTCTATGAAAAAATAGACATTTCACTAAGAAAATCTTGCCTTTGTTCTGTGGTCTTAATCCCAAATGCACGGAAGACTGGCAGTTTGTGGCAGAGGTTAAAAGGAGCGTGTTCTGTGTGGGCCATGGTGGCAAATTTGATCCTCTTGGCAACAACCAGATCAAATCTATTTAATCTGGGCAAATGAGAATGAGATTAAGCAGATAGCTGAGAAATTAGCAGGAAGATTGTGAGGCACTACGTGAAAATCTGCCATGAAAATCTGAAGTGTTTCTAGCTGCTAAACTTGTTCACTGACAAAAAGTGCCAGTCATCCTATAAAAGGTCAGGAGAAAAAAGAGATTTCAAAGATGAGGGAGTGTGAGGGGAAAAATTCAAAGCAGGAGAGGGGAGAGGAGTGATTCTGCAAGACTGTGGAGGAGGCCTGTAAGTACGATTAGTGGCCTTCAGTCCCCTCATCCTGCTCCATCAGTGTGGGAGTTCCAGTCTGCTTTCCAGGGGTGGGGGCCAGTTCCTAACAGCCGCTGGTGTGAAGGGGCAGAGTCAAGTGAAAAGCCACCAATGTGAAAAATGTAAATTGACTACTGAATTACCTTTTACATATTACTCATACTTTAAAATTGATCCCTGTTGAAGTAGCAAATTGATTTTGTAAAATGATTCTTTTTTTTTTTTTGCTAAAAACTATAGGAAGATTTTTTTCCCCCCTGTGGTTATGTGTGTGAATATCCTGCCTGCAACATTATTCTTTACTCTCTGAAACTATGGTTCATCAACTTTTCCTTTTTCTCAAAATACAGAGGGGGAGAAACAGTGGCATGGCAAGACAGTTTTGCTGCTGAATTCCTTTTAGAGCTTAGGCAACTAGGTTCACTCTTTTTTTCTCCCTTTCTTCTTCTGTAACCCCTTCTTTTTTTCCTTTAGCATTCATGAATAGTACACAGCAAAAATGCCCCGTGGAAGAGGTATGTTTGTGATGATAAATAACATGATGTCTTTTAAAAGTGCTGTGTCTGCTGATTCTGGCTTTAGTGATTGTGGTGATGTGACTGTAGCTTACTTGGTGAGCCTCTGACTTAATGAAACCATTCTTACAAATCAGACCTGCTGCTCAGAGCTTCAGCCTCTCTGCACTCTTTTTCCAGTAGAGAAAATATACCTCAACTTGGTTTAACTCTTGATAGACATGTACCAGTCGGTCACACCAGTTGATGATAGGTCAGAACATCCTCCAGCTCGAGATCCAAGGGTTTTGGCTTCAGGTGTTAGGTTTGCTTTGCTAACCCCATGCAGGATCCTCTGTCACAGCTCCAGCCCCAGCCTAAATTTCATCCCCGCCGCCCATCTCTACCCCTGCCTTCCCAGCTTGGGCAGCCTCCTGGATCAGAGGGAACCAGAACTTAACAGGAGGAAGAAAGATTCATACCTTCAACCTGTTCAAATAGAAAGAACTGAAAAAGTAGAAGATCAGAGAAACATAGGAAGTAGAAATAGAAATATCTGAAACAAATCCCCCTTTGTCCACAAATTTTTTACCATATACTATTTGATTTTTTTAAGTTATCTTTTAAATGTGCTTCTTAAAATAGGAATACTGTTCTCTGTTACACATGTGTGTGTAATAGTGACCCCATGTGTGACACATTTTCCAAGTCATCTGGTTAATACAGAATTTAATTTTAAAATAAAATTTGGAAAAATGTAATCCATCTAGTTTTTGGAGTTTGAGGTTTAAGGGAAAAGTTAGTGCTGCATGTACAATAATAGTCTCTAAACATGTTTATAGAAGTGATTTGAACACTTTTTGCATGTATTATCTCAACTTAAGTAATAAAACAACTTAAACCTCGTAAAACTCCAGAAAAATAAGAAAATAGTTGGAAATTTGACCACTTCCACTCTCTTTTCAATAGACTTATAAAGAAATAACACAAAAGCACAGTCATATGGATTAGAATAGATATTTAAAATTTTTTTCTGCCCATTTTTATTTCCTATCATCATAATGCTCTTACCAGGCAGTTTCTACTTAATAGCTGTCTACTTTGTTCATTCTTCAAATTATTTTCAGAACCACAAAATGTGCTTTGGAATGTTTTTGAAATCTATATTTTCTTATGCAACTCAAATATATAACTATAAATAACTTTATGCCATATGAGAAGATTGTTTTGATTTGCTTTTCTACTTGTGGGTGATAAAATTCATATGTTCTATCTGATGTCAAGTGTCAGCTAACTTTTTCCAAAATTGTATCCTGTAAAAGTTTAAACCTTTATTCAATGTATGAATTTTGTACTAAATCAGAGTATTGTTTCTTTTGTAGCTTCTCGGACTTCTATTCAGAGTGAGCTTCATCGAGATAGGAGGTATGCTTATATTTATAATAGAGGACATATATTCTGCTAATTATGAAGTAAAAGTATCATCAGTTAACAAATTGCATATTTTTCTCATAAACAGTATATTACAGTGTTCTACCTCATCAATACGTTTTCTGAATTAGTCTACAAGTTTGAATGATGAAGATTGATTTTTCTTGAGAAAAGAAGCAGTACAAGCCTGAAAACGTTCTCTTGACAGTAATCATTTACTGAAGTCAGTTTTAAAATGTTTATTAAGCAATTGCTATATGAAAAGCATTGCTGTAAATTATTCAAAGATATGCTTTGTACCTCATAGTTACTTAGTAAATGTCATGTGGATGAATGAACTGATGACAGGATAGAAAACAGAATAAAGGAAGGATAAAGAAAGGAAAAGTCAGGCAAGTTAGATAGATAGCAGGTGAATAAAAAGGGCTAGGTGACTGGTGGGGCCGGGGAGCAGGGCGGAGTGAGTCACTGTACAGATGGAAGGAAGGACCAGTAGATAGACTGATGGTAGGACAGATGGAAGGGTGGACAGGTAGATGGATAGAAAGGTAGATTTATTGTCCCTGCTTTCAGATTTCTTAAAGTACAGTGTAGAGCAATGAACAGGGACTTTAACCAAGTTCAAGTCCTGACTTCACTGTCTCACCCTGTGACCTTGGGCAAGCTCCTTAACCTTTCTTAGTTTATGTATCCCCACCTTTAAAGTACGTCATAGGGTTGGCATGAGGGCTAATACATGTATAGTGGTTAACATTTATTAACTAGTAACTCACTATCTATTTAGATAAAAGCTATAAAAACATTGGAATGACTCATTTGGATTCCACAGAGGGAAGTGTAAGTTAATTGTGCTACACTTAGCATTATATCTCAGAGGGGACTGGCTAAATGCAATTTGTGAAACAATTTTTGTAACTCTTAATACATGCTCATTACAGAAAGTATTGGAAAACTAAGAAAAATATGAAAAATAAAACACAGCTTATTCACTCTCCTATGTAAAGACAGCAACAATTAATAACTTTAAATAGTACATTCCAGATTATGAAGATAGGTATCTAGATTCTGTACATATACCTCAGAACCTAGCTTTTCTTCATAATTAGATCTGGTAATTATAATTCCCTTTGTCAATGCAGTTTCTTCTAATATATGACTTTTGTGATCATGTAATATTTGTGAGGGGATCATATAGTTTGTTTAATCATTTTTCTCTTTGAAATATGTTCTTACTTCAGTTATTTGTCCTAATAAATAATTCTTATTCTTTAAATGTTTAAAATCTGTAAGCAGAGGTTCTTAGGGAATACAGTTCAAACAAAATCAATGGGCAGGTTCAGCTGTTTCACAAGCTAGCATGAGAGTGTGTGTGCATATACAGTTTTGATAATGGCAGTGCATTTTATTTTTATTTTCCATAGAGGACCAGAGAAAAGCCGAGCAGGTCATCATCACACCTATTTGTTAGATGAGAAAAGTGAGGCTCAAGAGAAGTTGAAGAGTTTGCTCAGAGTCATGCAATTGGTATTTGTTACAAAATCAGGTTGAAGGTTAAACATGAGATCAGAGAGTCAGCTTAAGAAAATAATGAAAGAAGCCACACCTAAATCACTGTTTGCTCCTCAGGACTGAAGATTTATCTTCAGATTCATATACAAACTGACCAGGAACACAGAAACACACATCAGGGTCTAGAAGTGAACATGCAAACTCTAAACACTTAAAGATAACTCTGACTGAGGGAGAGGTAGAGTGAGGAGGAGGAAGCTGTTCTTCTACTTATTAGTATTGTTGCAGAGGACGTGCTTTGTAATAACAGGAAACGAAACATTTCCATTTGACCAATGCATTTTTCTGCCTCAGGATGCACCTATGTTTGTTCCATAGGCTAGATAGCAGAGCCCTGGGAGAACGAGGCTGTATGGGTCTTGGTTCTTAATTCTGACCAACCAAGGCCATAAAGCGTGCTCGAGGCGTATGTCTAACTCTCTGAGGCCAGTGTCTCGGAGGACGGCTGTCCTTTGCTCCCTCAAAGCCTGCCCGGGTATACTGTTCAAGACAGCCCCGGCCAGACAGGTCATTTCTGTGACTGGCAGGCCTTATGTCTCTTTGTTGGGTGATAGTTATTTTCATAAATCTTTGAACACTTGCAAATAGACAAAACCTCACTGAGGCTTCTGTCTGTTTCCAGGCGCCCAGAGATCACCATTGTGGCAGCTGAGCCGCTGAGGCCCACCTCGTGGTTTCCAGGAGCCCACCCACCAGGACTGGCATTTCCCCCGGCTTCTGCAGCAGGCCCTTGGAGGCCTAGTGAGCTGGTTCCTGCTGAGGTGAATAAATATCGCATCACCTCTTTGCATTTTATTTTTAAATGAAGTTCAAAGATAAGAACCTTGGCTATTGCCTACAGCTGTTTAAAATCTTCATTCTTCATTTTGCAGCTCCCACCATCTTATGAACAAGTCATAAAAGAAATCAACCAAGTTCAAGTTAACACTACAAATAATAATAATGCTGCTGCCACTTCACGGCACACTATTACTTCAGCAACTCAGACTGACTTTTCAGAAGAAATAGACAACCATCTGCCTCAAAGTAATGCAAGTAATTTGTCTTCCTTCCTTCCAACCTAGCTCTCAGGAAGTAATCAGTAGACTCCAGCCTTTAAAATAGTTTGCAATTTGTGCATAATTCATTGAGCTCGATTTCCAGTCGGTATGTGATCACTGTGTGCTTGCTTTATTTGGGCTTGCTGTGATTATTATAATAGATCATTCTCACAAGCTGCAGCCCCAATCTCTAGGGTTCATCCTAGTTCATATCACAAAAACATCATCCTTTTAACTCATACTGATGCCCTTTACTTCCATTGAGAAAACTGTTATATTTAGCAACTTAAAATTGGTAGGATGCTAAAAGTTGTCCTTTTAGGCTTTTTAAAAGCCTTGTAGGGATTTCCCGGGTGATCCAGTGGTTAAGTCTTTGCATTCCAATACAGGGGGTGTGGAGTTTGATCCCTGGTTGGGAAATTAAGATCCTGCATGTGTGTGTGTGTGTGAGTGTGTGTCTGCGCTCAGTCAGTCAGTCGTGTCTGACTCTTTGTAACCCCATGGACTGTAGCCCACCAAGCTCCTCTGTTCATGGAATTTTCCAGCCAAGAATACTGGAGTAGATAGCCATTTCCTACTCTAGGGAATCTTTCCAACCCAGGGATTGAACCCGAGTCTTTTGCATCTCCTGCATTGGCAGATGGATTCTTAACCACTGCACTGTCTGCCGAGCCCAAGATCCTACATGCCGCATGGCAAAAAGAAAGGGGCGTCATATTAAGATAACAGATAAGAATAAGTTACCTTGGAAAAGTAAAGCAAGAGTTGTTAGAATTTTGACAAGAGAGATGGTTTATTGATACATCTACTGAGAATCAGGAATTTAATGGTGTTTTAAAAATATTATATAATGAATATTTCTTAAATGAATAAATGCAACCTCAAGAACCCTCCTGCAGGAAGCTGAATAGAAACGTTTCCCCCATGATTTTAGAATTACTTTTTACTAAAGAAGGAAACCAAAATCTCATGTTATTCTATATGTATTTTTAAAAATCTGTGTATCTTTCTTCATTGACATTGTCACATCGCAGCTTCTGTTCATTTTGGTCTTGTCAGCCCTGCAGGCACCTCTGAAACCCCTCCAGCCTTCCCCAGCCATCTCAGCCAGGCACCCTCCCACAAACGAGGAGCCTCTAATAGTCTTTGATATTTCTGAAGAACAAAATTGTCCACAAAACTCCAGTGCTCCAAGATGTCCAGTGCCAAAACCAAGATCAAAAAGCAACCTCAGACCAGTGGCCAGAGATTCTCACGTTAAAGAGCAGAATTCCCAGAGCAGCCCGATAGCGGCGCAGGAGGAGGCAGCCCCGAGCCGGCCCCCGCCTCTGTGGGAAGGTACCAGCCACCCTGAGGGTCAGGCCGTGATGAACATGATGAACGCAGAGCAGAGCCGCAGCACTGTCGTTTCCAGGATCAAAGCACTTGAGGGTCAGACAAATACAGAAAGCTTGGGACTGCCCAAGAAGCCAGAGATCGTGCCCCGCACAGTCCCGCCAAGACCTGCCGTTTCCTCAGGGAAACCCTCGCTGGCTCCCAAACCTACAGCCAACAGGGCTTCCGGAGAATGGGACTCCTGGACCGCAAGCAGACTCAGGGGGGCCCCCACCCCTCACTCTCCACCGAAGGAAGCAGGGAGCAGCCCCGTCACCAAACCCGAATTGCCAAAGAAACCAAATCCTGGCCTTATCCGGAGCATTAACCTGGAGAGTCTGGGAGGAGGGCCCGCGGCTGACAGTCCCAACGGTGGGAAGAAAGCGCCGACTCCCGCTCCCCGGCCTTTACTGCCCAGGAAATCGGTGTCCTCGGAAAGCACCCCCTGCTCTGCGGCTTTGCTGAAACCAGTCCCAGTGCCTCCCCGGCTCTCGGTGGCGTCACAAGCCAAAGCCTTCAGGTCACTGGGAGAAGGCCCCCCAGCCAGCCCCCCGGCCCCTGCGCAGCAGAGCCAGCCTCCGGGGGACGTAGACCTCATCAGCTTCGACGACGATGTTTTACCCGCACCGTCTGGGAGCCTGGCTGAGGACTCTGCTGGTCCAGACATGGTTCTGGGTGAGTAAAGCCTAGAAGTAGAGAGGAATCTCAACTTCTCACAGGGTTACCTTGCAATGGCACCTGCTGGTTTCATTTCCAGCACGTGAGTTCTTGAGGTGTGGACATGCACATGCATGCGTGTGTGTGTACAGACAGGGAGAAACAGTGAAGTTAAGAAACAAGGAGCTAGGTGGAAGAAAGACTCAGAGGGAAGGGAAAGTCTGAGGTGGGGAGATAGAGACAAAGAGGGACACGTGTGGGTTTTTTAAAATGTTTATTTGGCTGCACCGGATCTTACTTTAGTAAGATCTTTACTTGCGACATGTGAGATCTAGTTCCCTGACCAGGGATTGAATCAGGACCCCCTACATTGGGAGCTCGGAGTCTTAGACCACCGGGGAAGTCCCACATGTGTTGCTTACTGTCATCAAGGCAGGAATAAGCCGGCTGGGACCAGGGACTTAACTAGATGAGAGGCTGCCTCTTCCTCAGGCAAGCAGAGCTTCGAGCATGAGGAGGATGTAGGGGAAACTTCTCAGAGATGGGGAGTCGTGCCCCAGAAGGCCTCCTCAGTCTGAGCCCTGAGGCAGTGCCGGGAGAGGCACCAGCCCCGCGGAGGGCTTTACTGCAAGAGCAGTAAACCCAGCCATATGCTGCAAAACGTTGTTCCACAGTCTTCGCAGAACACCTTCCCTTGGGAATGCTGAAGTTTTGTAAATAAAATACAACAGTTGTAAGTTTCCTGCCAATATTAGATTTCCCAAGAGGCAGAGAGTCTTTTTTTTTTTTCCTTTCCTCGCACTGCTCAGATGGAGAATGTGATGGTAAAGCTTATCTTTGATTTGCCAAACCAAGCTGCTCTACTTGTCATCAATAAGATTCCTTTTACTGCTGTTCACTTATTTGGATAGAATTTATGAACATATAAGCATAATACTACTTTCAAAAGGTTAGCTGTTATCTTGTAAATGTGTAAGATGCATCAAAATGATATAAACTCTGTAATGCAAAACCAAATTCTGCAGAGCACAGATGTATTTCAGATGATAACCATATATTTATTAAATATTTACCACACACACACAACATTGGAACTGGCTGTAGCATGTCTCTTGTCCATAAGAAGTAAAAAGAAAAACATTAGAATATATTGGGTTTCTGCTGTGTTCCAAACCCTCTGCTAGATCCCAGAGATACATGATTGAATTTAATCCTCACACTAACCCTGCATCATGGTTCATTTACATATGAAGAATATCAGACTGAGATAAATACATAACTTAATCACTATCATAAAACTAATAATTTTCCAAAGCAGGATTCAAGCTGCATCTTTTTTTTCTAAGTCTAGCTTATTTTTCACTCTATCATGTTGCACCTCAACATTTTCATGAATCCTTAAACCAGGCAACACATTAAGAACTTTTCAAGTCTTCATTATAGCATTTTTTATTTAGATCTTTTTAGTGTTAACAGGGTTCCGAGTAGGACAGGGAGGGTTAGATCCAACACCAGCGAGCTGTGAAGGGGTGGGAACACTCCAAGCGAAAGTAACACCGCCTTCTGAAGCTGCTAGAGGCTGTGCTGATGGCAACGTGGCTAGTAATTGCTGAGGATTTATTCTGTGTCATCAAGCAGATAATCACAGTCATCTTCAAAAAGGAAGGTCAGCAGGATACATCAACATGAATATAGTGTCGAGCTTCCTACTCAGCCTTTTCTGTTTCTCGATTTCTGTACAACGTTTAATTATTGAGGCACCTTTCAGTAAAAGGTGTCATTTGCTTGCCCTACCTGACTGCCTTAACTTGTGGACTGAGCCCTGTCTTCTTTTTATTTTTATTTATTTACTTATATGGCTTGCTGGAGCTTTGTTCCCCAAACGGGGCTTGGATCTGTGCCCCCTGCACTGGGAGTGCTGAGTCTTAACCACTGGACTGCCAGGGAAGTCCCTCGGTCTTCTTCTTAAACCTGCTCCTCTTCCTGTATTCTGCCCCTGTCCTGGTTCCTCCGTTACACTCCAGCCTTCCTACAGAGTCCTGTAGGTCATGCTGGAGCCTCCCTCCCTGTCACACACAGTGGCTAGGTGTTTGAATTTGGAGTCAGGCAGGCTGGGTCCACCACTTAATTGCTGTGGGACCTGAGGCAATTTACTTAACCCCATAGTGCCTTGGTTTCCTCATCTATAAAACATGATCATAACACTCCTCGTGGAGGCATTGCGAGTATTAAATATGATTATGCAGGAAAGCTCTATCACATTGTCTGAAACACAGTGTGTGCTCATTAAGTGGTGGTTATTAGTCTTACTTCTTGCCCTTCACACCCAATAAGTTGCCAGGTTCTGCTGGTTTTACCTTATGAGTAGCTCTTTCTTTCATTTCCACCCCTCCTGCTCCTGGCCCAGTTTTCTAATCTTCAGGTCTGGATAACTGCAGTGCCCTGCTAACTGAGCTTCTGCTTCTGCTTCCAAACCGCCATCAACCATAGCATGCTTACCCAAGGCATGCTTCTAGAGCACACATTGGACCTTGTTGCTTCCTTGCTCATTGGCCTCCAGAGGCATTCAAGATTCTCTCTGAGTTCTTCACAATGTAGGGGCACTTTTGGTTAATGATTGGGGCTTTGTGACTTTTTTGGAGAGGAAACTATTTTTTCTTGTTTCCACTGGGTCTTCATTGCTGCATGCGGGCCTTCTCTGGTTGTGGCGAGTGGGAGCTGCTCCTTGGAGCTTCTCAGTGTGGTGGTTTCTCTCCTTGTGGAGCATGGGCTGTAGCGCACATGCTCAATAGTTGTGGTGCGCTGGCTTAGTTGCCATGTGGGATCTTCCTTGACCAAGGATCAAACTGGTTCCCCCTGCATCGCAAGGCAGATTTTTAACCACTGGGCCACCAGGGAAGCCCTACACATTTTTTAGACTGAAGTATAATTGACCTACAACATTATGATGGTTCCATATGCATAGCATGTAGGGGCACTTTTGGTTAATGATTGGGGCTTTGTGACTTTTTTGGAGAGGAAACTATTTTTTCTTGTTTCCACTGGGTCTTCATTGCTGCATGCGGGCCTTCTCTGGTTGTGGCGAGTGGGAGCTGCTCCTTGGAGCTTCTCAGTGTGGTGGTTTCTCTCCTTGTGGAGCATGGGCTGTAGCGCACATGCTCAATAGTTGTGGTGCGCTGGCTTAGTTGCCATGTGGGATCTTCCTTGACCAAGGATCAAACTGGTTCCCCCTGCATCGCAAGGCAGATTTTTAACCACTGGGCCACCAGGGAAGCCCTACACATTTTTTAGACTGAAGTATAATTGACCTACAACATTATGATGGTTCCATATGCATAGCATAGTGATTCAGTATTTCAAAATGATCACCATAAGTCTAGTTACCATCTGCCATCATACAAAGTTATTACAATATTATTGACTGTATTCCCTATGCTGTAAGGCTTTGTGACTTTTTGATGGTATATTAATAGTATTATCTTTGTAAGTAAAGGATTATAGTCTCTTTGTGAAAACTTGCCTAATTGTTCTGGCATTAGCCAGAAACTGGGGGAGGAACCCAGGAGAAAGGCAAGAAACTCACAAATAGGCCTTTCCTTCTTTTTCTCTCCCCTCATAAAGAAAGAAAATCCAATAAAGTAGTTTTCATAAAATAAAGTTGCCATATTAATCTCAGGAAATAGAGATCAGAAAATACTGAAGCTATGAAAACATTGTAAGGATTAGAAAAATTATTAAGGGGAAACTCATAAAACAGGCGTTTAATATTGGATTCATTTCTTGGCTAGAATGCCTTCCAGGTTAATGTAATGGATCTGAGGAGCTGAGAAGCATTAGCAGTTCCTCTTCACACCTTTACAAATCATACCCAGTTGTCAAAAAAGCAGAATGCTTCTGCTCTCAGCCCCATTACACAGATCAGAATAATAGTTTAGCAGCCAATTTCTGCTATTAACAGAACTCAAGGGGAAAAAAAATGACAGAAAAGCAAGCCAAGGATGGTGAAACCAATTATGATGACAAGCATATTATTAGAGGCAGGTAATGGGCAGAAAACTACATTACCATCAGTGTTTTTCTCAGCCTGGTAATGAAGACCATGCGGGTACAGGTGTGAAGGGGCCTGCTTGTTTGGCAGCGGGTGTGAGGGGCTGGAAGGAGGGCTGAGTAAACACTGCAAATGACAGTAGAGAAAGATGCCGTGGACTTGCCTTAGACTTGGTTAGGAGGTGCTTTTGCAGACAGTTGTGATTTTTTTCTGTAGAAGCAAGAGGAAACAGTCTTTGATAGAGAAAATTATGACCCTGAGGTTCTTAACCCTTTCTGGATCACAGAACTCAGAGAATCTGATTAGCCTATGAATATTTTACTCCCTTGAAAATACTATTTTGACATATATGCACAATTGGAGGTACTATTTCCAGAGCCTCAAGGGCCTATTCTTCACCCCAGATCAAGGACTTCTACTATGAAATATTGGAAATAATCCTCAGTGGACCGCTTAGGTAAATTCGGATGCATCCATACAATGAAATATTGTGCAATAACTAAAAAAGAGGCAGACACCTGTTATCCCCTACTATGGACCAATCTCCAAGATACTATTAGGTGAAAAATACAAAGTATGGATAGTATTCATGGTATTTTAACTATTGTTGGTGTTAAAACACATACTTACATGCAAATATCCTGTCTTTGGAAGTCATGTAAAAAATGCTAACAGAGGTTGTCTTTTATGAGGGAACTGGGTAGGCAGGGGAGGTTGGGGGAACCTGGCCTTTAAATAGCTGGACATAAGCAGAATTAGGATGAAAGAAACTAAGAGAGATATCTCTTGTCTTTGCCCCAGAGAAAAAATGGCCTCCTGCACTGATCCTCAGCCTGTGGGTCATGATAGGCTGAGGATTTTAAAAAATAAAGAAATTTTTTAAATAATAAAATACACCGTTTCTAAACAATTATATTATTCAAGGTTACAAATAAAAGCTAATTATTATTAACTAAATATGTCTAAATTA